AACTCTTACAAGCAACGTCAGGGGCGAAGTTGATTTCACCACCTAAAACCCACATTTAGACAAATAAATAAGAACACACTTTGCTGCCATAATTCCTTGCATTGTTTCATCAAATCCAATACATATTTCCACGAATAAGTTTTGGAGCTGACTTGGTGAGATCTCACTCGAGATTTTGGCTAAATCAACAACGTGGAAGGTCGACTGATGTATTTGTTTTAGCTAGTAGAGATGTAAATGAACAAAAATTAAATATTTTGGTTTTGTTTTGATATCTATTGTGCTTTTAATTTTTAATGGTTTTCACTTGTAACAAGAAGAGAAATAATTTTAGCATTGTTGTTTTTTATATAAATTTTAAAATGAAAAGAATGGAGATAAAAAGGAGTTGGAGAGTTTGATTTTACATTTATGAGATTAAAGTAAGAGTAATTTAAACTTGAAAATGAATTTTTTTAACTTAAAAAGATTGATATAAAAAAAAATTCTTTAATATGTAATTTTATATTAATAAGATAATTTTCTAAATCGTTGTTCGACCAAGTTAAAATTTTACTTAAAGATTTGAAGTTCTATTTCGAATTAAAAAAATTTAACAATAAAAAAAGGGAAAGACATTTAAAAAATATCCAAAAATTATTGTTCAAGATTAGCTATGTTTTCTTAATTCACTTAAGAGTTTAGAACTATTAAAATATTTTTTTAGCTTTTCCTTTATTTATAAGTTTTCTACTTTGTTTAAGTTAATTTTTTGGTTTATTTAAAGAGTTATAAGTTTTTTATAAAGGAATTTTATCCAAACAAAAAAAATATCAAATAATAAAATTTTAAATTAGAATTTTTATGTCACTTTTTTTAATATAATTTTATATTCATATATTTATTATTTTTATTATGTTATTTTCATCGGTGTTATTCACTTATTAGATCACTCAAGTTTAACTTATTCAATTTTATAAACGAGTGAGGAGCAAACTCAGCCAAAATCACATTCCAAATTAATATGGGAGCACAAGTTAGATTATGACTAAAATCTATAGATCCAATTCCCAAAAAGAAAGAAAAGCCCATGAATAAAAAACTAGCCCTCCTTTTTCATTAAAGCGGGAAATCACATCAATTTGGCGGTCAATCCTCACTCGACCCCTTTCCAAACAGCCACCTCCAATAAAAAGAAGATGCAAAATCATGCTTCACAGGAAAAAGAAACGAAAAATCAAAGAAACCCAGAAACAATGAGGTTTCAAAGAGGAGATGTAGTGTGGGCAAGAGTGATATACCCGCAAACATGGTACCCAGGTCTGGTTTCAACAACCGACGCTCTTGGCATCTCCGTTTCTTTCTTTAACATCATCAAACCTCGTTACGTTGTGGAATCCGAGGTACGGTCTTTCAAAGAAAACTTTGGGTCATTAGTTAAGACAATAAAATGTAGTATTGGTCAGGTACTTCTTGATCATGTGTTGAAATTGATTGCGCGACGTGCCGTTTCAAGCTTGAAATGCCCCTGTCAGTACCCATTGCTCGAATCCGAGAATGAAAGAACAAAGATCAGAAGTGAAGATGTGGGTTTCTTGTTTTGCGCGAATTCGGTGGTGGGTTTGGTTCGCGGACTGGGGGTTTGTCCATTCGTGGAAGATTCAGATTTTGTGTGTGCAGTCGGTTTGGTTTCTCAGGTTCAAATGTTTCGTCGATTTATGGTGACCCGTCAGAAGTTGTTATTGAATGAAGAGGCAATTAAGAAAAAGCATAATGAGGATGGTTGTGTTTGTTTATCAGCTTCAGGTGTGTGATTAATAGCTTTTCTAATTGTTATGTAGACTCATTTTGTGATTTGTTTAAATTGATTGGACTAGTGGACTCTGAGTTCATAATTTGCACTTTTGTAATGGAGTTTTTAACATGAAAGACTTGAATTGTTATTTGTTTGTTAATCATTGAAGAGCATTTTAGCAGTATGGTATGCTTGTGAGACTTGCAATAGTTGGTGAGGATGGTCTGTCTGATGTTTTCTTTGTCATACACAACAGAATTCAGATATAATGACAGTGGCCTGTTTGATATTGGTTGATGAGCTAAGTGCTTGAAACAAGGGTTGTGTGATTTGGTATGTGCAAGTAAAGATTATTATCAAATGAGGAGGTAATTAGAGGCACTTCAAGATTTATGGAAAAAACAACTTGTTTGTCTGATTAGCTAATGCCTGCTTGCTGTTGTATAGATATCAGGTTATTTCTTCGTGTGCAGTCCTTTTAAATTTCATTTTATATTCTTGTTCTGAGTTGATTCTACGTTACATCTTTAGGTAATGCAACGCAATCAGTGACACAAAAATCAGTCACTTCAGAACTTGAAGTCGAAAGCTTTTGTGAGGATCAACCTAGTGAAGCGTTGGCTCAAACTAAGCAAACCAAGGCACAACCACTCACTGAGATGCCGGTAAACTTGCATTGTCTTGCTTCAAATGCATTCTTTATGAGGAGAGAATGCTTGAATACTGTGAAGCAGAGTTGCTTGAGATTTGGAAATTTGCCATACCAAAGCACTTCTAATCTTGAATTGAGAGCATTCTTTTGTAGAAGCATTGGCATTCGATTTTCTTATCCAGAGTGCATCAGGAGCCAGTCAAGTGTTGAGGTTGATGGAAAAGCTGGTAGGGAAAATTTTGGCCCCCCTTAGAAGCTGGTAGGGAAAATTTTGGCCCCCCTGCACCTTACATTGCAAACCCTATCAACTTCACTGGGGTAAAAAGACAGAATGATCAGTCTGCTGATTCTGGTTTTTCTTTCAAGTTGCAGAAGTCTACACCTCGCTTCCCAATTTGTAAAGCTGATGCTTATCATGAGAAAAGAAAATCAGAGCACAGAGTTCATCTATCTGATAATTTAATCCCTGGCCCAGCTTTCTTGGATTCTATTTGCAACACTCAACCACTTTTGTCTTCTACTGGAGGGGATGCTCATTTACAAAGTAGAACCAGATTTGAGACAGGAGCAGAGATCCAAGACCACCATTCCATGCACTTGGTCCAGAACATGCCTCACGTTTACCTTGCAAAAGATGCATCTTACTTTAGCAATATTCTGGAGCTCAGCATGTTTCAGGAGAGAAAAGATAATGTTGATGCCCTTAATGATAATGGGACTTGCTTGCCTGATGCTGAAATGCAGGAACCAGGAGAAATCACCAGTATCCTGAAAGATTGTGAGGCCTTAAAACCTGTTGAGTATGATGCTGTTGAGAAGATAGCTGAAGGAATTCTGAGTGAGGATAAGATGGATGATTGTAAACTAGTTCTGAAACTTTCTACCACTGAGCCAGTGATTAATTGTCTTGTGGAAACTTCTGATCTATCATTCAAGCCTCAAATGGCTCAACAATCAGTGCTCGATGCCTTTGCCTATTCCAAAACTTATGCAGACAATGACAAGACTATGAATGCAAATGCAGCAACCAGCAATTGCTTGCCATATGAACTGAATACTGATCAAATCCAGATGAAGCCTACCAACAGTGATGATGCCATATCTTTTGGAACCAGCAGAAGAATGAGCATTATTCAATCTTTTGGAGATAGTTTAATGAATAACAAGGAGTGCTATCTACCATGTACTTTTGATCCATTAGTCAAGCCTCAATTGACCGAACGATCAGCCATTGGCACCTTTTCCAGTTCCATAATTTATTCTGAAAATGACAAGATTGGCAATTCAAGAGCAGCAACCAGCAATTGCTTTCCAAGCAAATTGAATATTGATCAATCCCAGTTAGAGCATGGCGACAATGATGATGCAACATCTGTCGAAACCAGCTTAGGAGCGAGCATGATTTCACCTTTTGAAGGCAGTTCTATGGATGATAAGGGCCACTGTCGACCTGGCACTTCTGACCTGTTATTCAAACCTCATATGGCTCAACAATCAGTGGTTGGTGCCTTTGACTATATTAAAACTCGTTCTGGAAATGAAAAGATCGGAAATTGTTTGTCATCTGAACTGAACACTCACAAAGTCTTGATTCAGCCTTGCAACAGTAATAATGCCACATCTTTTGAGACCAGCAGAAGAGTGAGCATGATTTCATCTTCTGAAGGCAGTTCTATGAATAACAAGCGCAATATACCAGGTACATTTGATCAACCATTCAAGTCAAAAGTATCTCAACAACCAGCTGAGAGCACATTCACCTGTTCTAATTCTCTGCACATGAAGTTTCCCAAAGATTTTAATCTTCCTTCTAAAATGGATTTGATAAGAAAATTTAGTAGATTTGGTAGAGTGGATCCTTTGAAAACCGAAGTCTTTCAACTTATGGGCTCTGCCCAGGTGGTGTTCTTTGAGGAGCTTGATGCGGTCGCTGCGTATCAGTATGCAAAGAGGAAGAACAATTTATATGGAGTAGCAACGGTTCTGTATTGGCTTGATCGATCAGGGCAAAAGAGGAGAAGACCAAACTTTCTTTCTCCATCGTCATCCTCAAATCTAAAACCATCTCTTAAAAAATCCGGTCGGCGTGGAAAAGAGGATAATAAACGCACCCGGAAGGTGAGATTTACAATAGAAACTTAGGTCGGATCTCTGTACATACGACCAATTGCTTTTGTTCTTTTTGCCGTTGGCAGTTTTGCTTGTAGCTCGCGTAAGATGTTTTCATGTCAGTACAATACGATAATGCTACGAAGGTTGTGTTGCATGTCCTGCTTCATTGCCAAGAAATGTTAATGCACTGAAGAAATCACCCTTTGCTATACTTGTTAAGTTTGGTCTGCCATTTTTTAGGTTGTGCTAGATAGGGCCTCCGATATTATGGTTCCCATTGATATCACTTGTAAATTGATTTAAATTTTTCTTACACTTTTTGACTGGTAAAGAAGTCATAAATACACAGGCTATTCCCAGCACATGCTAGAAAATCCAGGGCTGTAGGATCAAATTAATAGAAAGACTACAAGTATAGAATTAGTGTTCTACACAGTTTTCACCCCATTGCTAAGACAGAGAAAGAAGAGAAGAAAACTTTACTAGGTTAAGGTTTAGATTATTCACAGCTACAGAAACATTGGATCTTCTGTCAACCGACAGTCTGGCGTTCGTACAGCATTGGTAAAGTCCAGAATATTACAGTTAATCCGCAAGTATAAACACACTGCTACGGAAGCTTCACCGATGGTCCTGCACAAAATTAGAGGTCCTTGGACTGTTAAAAAGGGACCTTAGCAGCCTGTCCTATACCTAGCTCCGTATGATAATTAAAACAAAACGGGGAGAGAGAGAGAGAGAGGGTGGACGCCCATTTAACCATGATGCTGCGCAAAAAATTTCTCCAAACGGCATAGTTTTAGCAACCCCTGGGACTGCAGTACATTACAAGGGAAGTATGAGATGATGTCTCAAAGATGCTATAAAGATTAAAAAAAGGTAAAGAGCACAAGCATCACAGCAATTCCGAACAAAATCATAGCTACAATCACTTTCCATTACAGGATATGAGGAAGGATGGAAATAGTTACTTCCAAGTTTCACATTAACAAAAAGGTGCAGGCATGTATAAATACAACCAGCCAAACAAGAAATAAAAAACTCAGCAATCGTACCAAATTGAAACATACAAAATCCAAGTTTCAATCATTTTCTATTACAGATGCTTGTTCTTTTGATGTCTAAGCATACCAACCAAACAAGCAAGGATCGATCATGAGTTTGGAACTTGGGAAGAATAACTTCTGTTATTCAAGATAATTTGACAACTCATTCCATATAATAGCTAAAGATGCATTTAGCAACTCCAGAAGTTCAGGATTAATTAGTGGAAGACACCACCACCCCTCCAAAACAAAAGAGGGAGAGAGAGGACAGTACCCTAAGGTTATTGGAGTTTTACACGAAAGCGCAAGATTCACACATTTATATGACTAGAATACTGTGAAAAGAACATTAACGTGTCTACATTTGGTTTGAGAAAAAACAGAGGTATCTTGTACAACATGCATAAGCATCATGATTTCGTTATCAAGCTGTGGTGCACAAACAGATTTCCCAATTAACTGCGGAAGACCTGACTTCACTGAAATATTTAAATGCATTTGAATGATTCGAATTGACTGTGATCCAACGACTCGATATAATGTACATTTCATCTAATAATTAGTCATCCCTTTGCGATAGACAGTTTTAATGCTTTTCTCACTGCACAAAACCACTTCATTGACTTTCCAAGCTGGCATGCTCCACTTAGAGCTAAAAAGGTTAAGAAGGAGTGTCAGCCATAAACAACAGTTATTATCTTTGAAAGGTTAAGAATCTAATTAATATTATTGGAATTAAAAAGACAGGTGAAACAGTCAGAGACAATGCAATCGGTCATCAAACAGCAAGAATAAAACTGGCTTCTACAGCTTTGTAACAGAATTCTTCAAGAACTGCTGCGTATTTCATCATGTCAACTGTCCACTTAAGGACCATGTTTCTGTTTCGGATCAACTTGAGGGTGATCAGTGTGTTGCTTCCAATAAATATAACCTTCGGGTAAAAAAAAAAAAAAAAAAGTATTCAAGATTGTAAGCTGCCCTTATGTAGAAAAATTATCAAATTGACACTTTATTTATTGAACGTCGCTATAGTATGCGTTTATCACACATTTAGTCATTTAACATCCTTTAAACCCTCTTTATTTTTATTTTCCCTCAAATTATCAAATGAGCTTCTAATTTTTGCATGCATAAATAAATACAATTTACATGTAAGTTGGACCCGGATAAATACACACAATCATGTACTTAGCATGATGGAAGTGAGCAAACCATGCACAATTATGAGCATCTGAAACAACTAACTACAATTAAAAATAAACATGGGAAGGACTTCAAACCTTTTCAGCCCTGACCCCGCTTGCAGCCTCCATAAGTCCACAAGCATGCGCACATTAACCTTCAAGCAAAGTAGCCCCGGCATCTTGGTGCTCCACATAAACATTTCCTCCTTCCACGTGGTGTGCTGCCACCATCAGCTTCAGCCTCACCCACACAAGATTTCCCATAATCGTAAGTCAACTCTGTCATTGGGGGGATGTGCCTCGTTGCAAAAAAGCCAATATGGATAAAAGATTCACTGTTGTGTTCGTACATAATTGGCTGCCAGAAAACATTTGGATAACAACCGTGATTCATGAATCGAGCTACATTTCCAACATTCTTTGAGCTTATGACCAAGGGAGATGGGACATTGGGTTCCTCAATAGCTTCAATAGAACTGTCCTCCTCTACTAACCCAGATTCATAATTCCATCTGAAAGATTCATACACACAGGAGGTATCAAACACATAATCACCACCATCACCTTCTTCTCCAGGCTGGATAACTTTTTCTATCACTTCACCAGCATATTCACAGATAAAAGTACCAGCACGAAAAGAATCCCATGACCGCAGGCCCCAACCTCTGTCCTTTGTTTTGAACACTTCCAAACGAGCTTTTAAGCCAGTCTGAGATGCCCGATTTTTGCAATTAGGAAAGCATGGACATGTGGGACCACATTCATGTATCATTGGAGCCCGGCAGACTAGAACTCCATTGGCAGTGTACGGGAAGTTACCTTCATTTTTTCTAATGCAGGAGCAGTTCAAATTGCCTGGTTGGCATGCATTTCGACAGTTGCACCCATAAGCAGGTTGTGTTAATTTAAATGATTTAGAATACTTGACAGTGGAGACATATGTGAAGTACGCAGGCCCCTTCTCCTCATCAACATCATTTACAAGTGAAACAGCCGTGCTTTCAGCCCCAGAAGTGAGGTCTGGAAGAATTAGTCCAGCCCTTGAGGAAAGCCCTTCCTTCCACTTTTCAATTGATTTCCAAACACCAAAAGCATCTGGCTGCCCAGGAATTCTAACCAACTTATACTTGAATATATTGCAACCAGATTTCGCCTTCTCCACCCAAGACTCCTGGACCCTATACAGGCCATCATATACATAGACCTTTGATGCTTGATTAACAGAATCTTTCATACCCCGAATGACTCTCACTTCATTTCCCCGGCGCAAACTCCTCTCTAATGCAAGGTTGCCCCTCTCAAGCTTCTGATCAGTTGCTCCTTTATCCTTGTTGGCAGCCCCCCCTTGTCCACTATATATTAAAACATCCTTATCCTCTGCATCGTCTTCATAATAACCAGACGAAACAATACTTACAGCCAGTGGTTCTTCCTCCGGATCATTCCTTAGAGACATGTAGTCAATCCCAGCCATGGATGGAGCATGCAATCCCAGCAAGCACATTTCTATTCGGAAAAAGAAAATATCCCCAATCTCAACTCCAGGAACTGCTCCAATTCTCTTCCTCATATTTGTTCGCACCTGTTTGGTCATCAAAATATTCCCTGCTTTCAGATCCGCCCGCCTAATAATCCCAACAGGCGATTCCTTAGCATCTTCTAATTGACTAAGCCTTCTCCTAAGTGCATCAAATCTCATACGTATACTATGAACCACTTCACCATTACCATCATCCCTTTCAGACAAACTAACTCCCACAACAAAATTATTCTCATCAACAGACAATGTAAAATCCAAATCCTGGCTCTTCCTCGCTCTTTTCTGCAAAGAAGACTTGGTTTTCCGCTTAGCTGAGCCCTTGCTACCATCAAAGCACCCAGCTTGTCCATTAAAAGCATCCCCACTAGACTCTGTACCTCGAATCGAGCGAAGGGGAGCTGCAGGAGTGGCGTGTGTATGTTGGTTAAGGTCAGGTGTTGCTTGTGTAGCCTGTGGTGCACTAAAAGGATAAAATGGTGCAAATCCAGAAGAGTGAGGCCCAAAAGGAGATGTAGATGCAAATGAAGGTGCTTCAGAGCTTGAAGGAAACACTGGTGCTAAAGTACGCAGCGGTTTCACATCCAAAACTCTTGTTTTATCAATTATAGGTGTTGAATTGTTACCTGAGCCACCTCCTTCCATTACTGTTTAAACGACAAACGAACACCCAGGAAACATCAACAAACTTAAATAAACCCCACTAATCTAAAAACCAAAAAGAAACGAAATTCACTGCATGCTTTTTCTCTCTTCCTGCAGCAAGAAAGTGGAAAATTAAAGTCCGCATGTTGTTAAAATAAGCAGAAACTGAAGATCTATGAAGTTGCTTGGACCCAGATTTTTAAGCTAATCTATAAATCAAAGCAAGAGGAGAAAATGATTAGAGAATTTACCTCTCGAGAATTTGTTGATCGCTTACTTAGGGCTTGTAGCGAGAGAGGGAAGCGTTTGTGTCTGAAGGGAAAAGTTGGTGTTAGTATGTGCTTTGTCGGGTGTTGTAGTAAAGAGTAAACTATATTTTGTCGCTCTTAGTAAAGTGTGTGCTTTGTCAGATGTTGTAATAAAGTAAAGGGTAAACTATACTCTTCACTCTAAAGTTTACAAGTTGTTCGATTCTGCCCCTGTTGATTTGAAACTCTCCATATTACTCTGAGTTTCTCAAAAGTTCCAAGTGCATGGATGATGAAAAACAATAATTAACTAGAATGGTGGTCACGGGTTAGGCAAAAAAGAATTCGACCATAAAATAATATTAGATGATAATACTTTTTCTAAACAAGTAAAAAAAATTGAAAATCAATCAAGTTATTAACTTAACTAAATTTAATTAATTTAATAATATGATTAAAAACAACAATTACAATAAATAAACCAAGCTAAACAAAAAAATTGAAAATAATGAACTAAAAAACTGAAAGTTTTTCAATTTTATGAAAATATATCCACCCAATATTCTTAAAAGGTTTACATGATTTTATTTAATAATTAATCAAAAATTAAATGAAAATGTGACAAACCCATAGAAATAAAAAAAATGAAGCTCGCTTAAAAAAAAAATCAATATTAAATGATAAGATTAAAAAAAAACAACCCGAGTTTACTAAATTTACAATCCAATCATGAGATAAAGATAACTCCATGTAAAGCAAATTAAATAAAATCATGAAATACAATTCTTAAACAAAACCAAATTGAATGGGGGAACTAAAAAGGTAAAATTCAATCTTAAAAAAAAACAACAATAAAAAAGCATGGGTTAACTCACCAAGCTCGTGACTCAAAACATGATATTAGGATAATCCTATAAAAAAATAATAAAAATCAATCTCTAACTAATCCACTATCGAAGGATAAAAATTTTTAAAAGATCAATTTTTAAAAAAAAACAAAGTCAACCAAAGCTAATCTTCAAAGTTAATGATTTTAGGTCATGAGACTAAGACTAATTATGTAGAAGGTAAATCTAAAAAAATCATAAAGTCAAACTCTCAATCAACCAATGTTGAGGGATGTAGTTGAAAAAACAAATATCTATCGAAAAATAAAAAAAATAACAAATTGAAAAAATAATAATTAAATTTGATATAAAAAAAATAAAATGAAATGTTTAGGGATGAGACTGAAAAAAAAATCAAATAAGAAAATGATCTAAAAAAATAACAACCAATAAAATAACGACTAAAGTTGATATAAAAATTAAATAAAACCAAATAAAAGAGATAAAATTGAAATAAAACAAAAAAATGATTCAAAAACACAAAAAAATATAGCAATAAAAATAAAAAAAAATAGCAAAACACCTTTTAATTTTGACAAGTTGGTGTAAATCCCAAGGATAATAAAAAAAAAAAGGAGAATAAAAAAGATCATTGAAACCTACCACTACACTCCCATCAACACACATTTGATTACAAAAAAAGTATGACATGACACTTTGAACACTAACATGAAAGCTATTATTTGGCCATTAGAAAAAGTCATACATGCTACTAAATACAATACAGTAAGCTTCTTCCTAGTGCATACTTTAACCAATTTACCTTGTTTATTTATCCAAATCTTTATATTTATTTTAGTTTAAATTATGGTCTCCTAACACCTAGTTATTTTAAATTATTTAATTTTTATTTTATTTTGCAAAATCAAGATTTTATCAAACAATGAAAATTTTTCTTAATATTCCAATATTTCCATTTCAAAACAACTAAAATAATCTATCAAGTTAAATCTCAAATAAATCAATGTAAAGAGATCAAATTAAAAAAAAATAAAGGGACTAAAATTAAAAAGATACATAACCTTCTCACTAAGCAAATCAATCATTGATGATATAGAAAAATAAATATTTATTCAAGCTTTAAATTTGATATGTAAAACTTTATTTATTTTAAATTAAAAAAAATTAAATTTATTTTATTAAACTGAGAATTAACCTAGCTATTAAATATTTCACCTGCATCTTGAGATCCTTAAATGCATATATTTAAAAAACAAATCACCAATACAGTACAATAGCAAATCAAAGAAAAAACAATGCTTACAAATCAAATCACGGTGAAAGCCCGACACCCATAGTTTTTTTATAACAAGTTAATTACTATTATTGGAACGCTACATTCAAGTAAAATATAAAAATAGTAATTCCAATTTTTTATTTAAAATAGTTTTCACAGCACCAAAGGTCTCATTTGTTATTCAAAAGTGAATTTCAAAAAAAAAAACTAGATTATACTCTAACATTTAATTGTCCTATAGAAAATGAGTTGCCAATTAATTCTTGGTATGTGGTTGTGTTATGAAAAAAAAAAGTAGAAAATAATATTTTTGACTTATTAGTTTTTTTAAAATAGTTGTGTTTTAAAGTTATTAATTTTTTTGAACAAATCACAATAACCTTCTTGAAATAACAATATTATTAAATTACACAAATAATCTAAAATCTAAATGTTGTCATAACTCATTTTGTATCTCTAATTTTTATGTTAAAAAATATATATTTTTAGTACAATTTAGTTAATTCCCATCATTTCCATGTTTTTTCATAATTTTTATTCTTGTGTAACAAAATAAAAAATAAAAAATTATAAACTTAAGGAGTGAAATGAGAGGGGGAGGGGGGACCAACGCGACCTAAAACGAAATAATATAGAGAAAAATCGGATTAATTTGGACTGCAAAAATAAATAAAGAATCATGTTAAGATGGGCAAATTAAAATCTCAATAATACAAAATAAACAATGATTTTTCTTCAGGTTTAAAATAAGAAAAGAAACTAGGGCTGAAATTGACAAGGGAGAAGGGGGTTAAAGTCAAGGTGGGAGAAGTAATTTAAAATGGGGAGTAGAAAGAACTTCAGAAATTTAAAAGGAGAATTGAAAAATGAAAAAAGCAACGGCCTTTTCTTTAGTAAGAAGAAGGTCACCGTGGTCAAGTGGTAAGAATTTAGGATCAAGAGGTTTGCTTTCTTTGTGGTCTCAAGTTCGAGTCTTTGGTTGCTCATATGATGGTCACTAGAGGCTTACATGGTCATTAACTTCAGGGCCCGTGGGATTAATCGTGGTGCGCGCAAGCTAGCCCGAACACCTATGTTAATTTAAAAAAAAAAGAAGAAGGCCACCGTTCTGAATAAAAGGGGATAAAAGGGACAACTTTTCTTTTACTTTTTTATTCTGAAAGAGAACACATCAGAACAGAGAATTGAGAGAAACACAGTAAGGAGCCTAACAATGACAGACCCAAATTGGGTTTCCTCCAAGTTAGCTACTGATGTGGGTGAAGATTGTGATGTTGTTAATTGATTGAGTAACGATGAATAGATGAATTAGTATACTAAGAACTAGAAGATGAGGAGGGACGAAGAGAGAAGGAGGAGGAGGAGGTAGGTGGCAATACTAGCTATCGGCATTAAAGAAAAATAAAACGCAGCGTTTCCTAGCTCTTCATTGATCAAAACTCTGTGTTTTAAGTCCAAAGCACCCAACGGTCTGATCATTTGAATCCTTCTGCCCTAACTCCCCCCTCCTTCTCCATCTCACTGAGATTTATCTGAGTCCTTCCATGGCTGAGAATTACCTGAAGATTGTGTCAGAGAAGTTGAGTGGATCTGGTTTAACCTTCAAAACATCTCAATAAAGTGCAAATCTATGACCATAAGTTTCCAGTAGGAAGATGATAAAAGATTGGTCTTTTGCTGTATCTCTTTTGTTCTTGAACCAAGAAAAATCTTGAAGGTTATTTTGGTGCTTGTGTTTTTTTAACAGAGCAGGCAAAAGAAAAGGCGGGAGATATAAGCTGCTTCACCAGAAACCGAGGCTACTAATTAATGATGTGTTTCTGCACTCTTCTTCTTCTTCTTCTTCTTCCCTCCATGTTTTTTTCTTTTTCCTTTTCTTTTTCATATATATATATATATGGGTTCTATGAAGTGGTTAGCATAAGCTTGCCATTTTCCCTGGGTTTAAGATGATATAATCAATTTTGTCCTCTCCCGAACCACACTCAATAATTGTATTAAAAAACCCTTTTGCCAACCAGTGGCCAAGTGATAAGGACTTGAAATCAAGGGGTTTGTTCCCTCTGTGGTCTCAAGTTCGAGTCCTTGATTGTTCATATGATAACCACTAGAGGTTTACATGATCGTTAACTTCAGGGCCCGTGGGATTAGTCGTGGTGCGCGCAAGCTGGCCCAGACACCCACGTTAATCTAAAAAAAACCCTTTTGCCCTAGTTATAAATAAATGTGTGGAAATTAGACATTTTCATTAGTCCCTTGAGCTTCCCCTCTTCTATCGCTCCACTTGTTGCCATAAAAAATCCCCCAATGGAGGAAGAAGATCTCCAACAATTGCTCCTCACCCTTCCCGCTGAGAAAAACTTTGAAGGCACGAAATCTCTCTATCTATACAAAGGGACCTGGGTTCCAGTTTCTTTGTTAAGAGCTGTGGATTCCTTTCAACGCCACTTCATTGCTCAAGACACCGATATAATAGTAGCTAGCATGCCGAAATCCGGCACTACTTGGCTGAAAGCCCTTACTTTTTCAGTTGCAAAACGCCACATCTATGGCCCCAAAGAAAGTCCTTTACTCACTGCCTCGCCTCATGCATTGGTACCTTGTTTCGAGGTTGACCTTTACATGAAAGACCCGCAGCCAAATCTTGATCGAGCTCCTCCTCCCAGAATTTTCAGTTCTCACTCCCATTTTACAAATTTGCCAGAATCCATTAGAAATTCCAAGTGTAAAGTTGTGTACATATGCAGAAATCCATTGGACCAAGTTGTCTCTTACTTTCAGCTTGTACACAAGTTCAAACTACACGGCACTCCTTTATTATCACTAGATGAATGTTTTGAGAAAATTTGTCGTGGAGTCCATGTTCTGGGCCCTTTTTGGGATACCGTGCTGGGGTACTGGAAAGCAAGCTTAGAGAGACCAGACAAGGTGTTGTTCTTAAAATATGAAGACTTGAAGGAGGATATAATCTCTAACTTGAAGAAAATCGCTGAGTTCTTGGGAATTCCTTTCACCGAAGAAGAAGAAAAGGAAGGGGCTATTGAAGAAATATCAAGGTTGTGCAGCTTCGACAACCTCAGGAATTTGGAAGTGAACAAAAATGGTGTTCTTCCTTCTGGGGCTCCGAACAGTTCCTTCTTCAGGAAAGGAAAGGTGGGTGATTGGGCAAATTATCTGAGTCCTTCCATGGCTGAGAATTACTTGAAGATCGTGGAAGAGAAGTTGAGTGGATCTGGTTTAACCTTCAGAACATCTCAATAAAGTGCAAATCTATGGGATGCGTTATCATAATCCTCTCTTGTTCTTGTTGGTGCGTTGTCCTTAGGAAGATTTTTTAAGCTAAAAACGAGTTTGAAGATGAAAAAAAACCGAGAGAAAGAAAATGCTTTCACATGGTTGTGATCTTAGCTTTGTGATCTACATCTCATCAAGAAAAAGATTGGTCTTTTGCTGTATCTCTCTTGTTCTAGAAACCGAGGCCAGGCCTCATTTATTGGAGGGTCCCACGAACGACCCTCAATCCAATAATGGATGGGTACAGTAAACCACCATTCTGGTGTCCTAAAAACAGTCTTCTAGTCCCTGTAATTTTATAAGAAGCTGTTTCAGTACTTTTCTTTAATGCATTTATAATTAAGTCCTGAGATTGTAAGTTCTTTTTATCCTTATGGTAATCTGGTTTTCAGTTTAACCTTTGTACCTGGAAATATCATAAAATAATTCATAGGCATGAAGTCAATATTTGCTTAAATGTTTTGATGTTTTGATGTTAAAAATAAATTTTAAAAATTAAAAAAAATACTTTTAATATAATTTAAACAAAAAATACTTTTAAAAAATAACCATTAAACACAAAAATTGGCTGAGGTTAACAGGAACACAGATTTATCTCCGTGCATTCAATTGGAATCATGCTTGTTAAATCTTGACATCACATTTAGATTGTTAAGTGGGATTTTAATGAAATTAAATATTAAATCAGTAAATAAATACAGACAAAAATGGAATTATTAAATAAATAACGTATAAAAAAAAGAGATATTTTGAGGGGGAAAGAAAATTTAAATTCTTAACGATCTCTTTTATCCCCTCTATGGTATAGATGCAAAACGAGAGATAGCCTCCAAGAATAACGAAGGATCTGTAATTTAAGGTGTCTTCGCCTTTTATAGGCAGTCGCATCCTCCTTCAGCTAAGATGCTTCAAAGTGGCTCCATAAATTCTTTGTCACTAATTACATAGAAAGAGAAAGTTGCGGTATACTCCTCGTAATCCTCCACCTCAATTTCTATGTTTGGAGCTTCTACGCCTTTTCTGCTTAACAGCTCCACCCGCACCAACTCCCTTTGGTGTCTTCGCCTTTCATCATAGGTGGTCGCCTTTTATCACAGGCGTTTGCACCTCTTCAATTAGGTGCATCTGCAACAGCTCATCCTTCCATCCTTGCATGCATTGAAAGGTCCTCGCTTGTTGCCTTTATCAAGAGCACAAGAGACTTTTGTTGTACAACTTTTTCATAGTCTCTGCTCTGAGCTTCATCTGGGAACTCTTCTTCTCCTTGCACCTGTTGTCTCATTATAGTACCTCGTTGGATCCTCCGGGTACTCCTACACAATCTTCATGTGCTCTCGTGCAATTTTGGTTCTCCAGATTTCTCCCTATTCCTTGTTTATGTTTGACAGCAGCTCATCCTGTCACAACATCTATCCAAGTTTAAATAGGGTGTCAATCTTTATCCCTTTGCTGTATTTCTCTTCCATTATCAGGGTCTTCATCAATTCTCCCCTCGAGAAATTATAGTCACCGAATCTAACTTCCTTGGAGAAATCACCACTCCATCAAATCCTTGATCATACGGAACCCAACTGTTCCTTTATGCCGTCATCCTGCTAGTCTTCAACAGTTTCATAACAAACTGTCACATATACGAAAATAGTACCGTATGGATAATCCTTCCACTAAGCAAGTTCCCAGGAAAGATTGGAGGGGTCACAACGGTCCCGCTTAAAACCCAATCTCCTAGCCAGAACTTAGGCCATATCTATCCATCGTACTGTCTTTTCGTATATACAACCATTTGCTAGCTTTGTCGCGGCTTTCCTTTACAAGTGATCTAGGGTATCCTGGTTTTATACTTGATTTCTCAACATCTGGCGAGACTACCAGTGCTCAGATTCGTCAAGATTGGTCTTCATCAAATTTCACTCTCCACCTCAAATTATCCACATGATCGGGTGTTTAGAGTGTCCCAATTTTGCCTTCCCTCAAGGCAATTAAAATTCCCCACATAATAGTTCAACACATGTAATTGGGCAAACATGTGTGATTTCTTCTTCTTCATCTCCATCGACCACCATGATGACCATCAGATGCCTCCTAATCGGGCAATCTCTCTTTAATAATTCATCACTGCCTTTTATGATCTCAATCTCAATGATCGGACCATACCATTGCATCCAGAATGATCAAATTAGCTAGAAACAAGTCTGAAATCATCCAAATCGCACTTCAGACGGCTAAGATTTGATCAAAACCATTCTGGCCTGATAAACGGCCCAGATTCAATCTCAGAACCGGTTGCACGTAGACTCCGCCACACAGGATCAAAATCCAGGGAGCTGACATGGCTATAATGACGTGTCATCCACGTAAGACATATAGGTCAACCAAATCTGACGTGACAGTTTGACTGGTCAGAGTGCTGATGTGTCAGGTGACGTGTCTGATAACTGTGCAGAACTGCTGACGTGGCTGATGACGTGGACAGTCGCCCCACCGGCGCGTGCGACGGTTTCCGACGTCCGATTTCAACGCGGTTTTCACCAGTGGCTTCGTCTCTTCCTCCTCTACACAGTGGTATGGTCAAAACACAATTTTAACAACTTTCATTTTTGAGCAAAACACTTTAAACCGAAGGCTCTGATACCAATTGTTGGGAATTCCGACCGGTGATGTACTGATATTTGCTCATAGGAGGCCAAGCACACTGACACAATATTTAACGTGGTTCGGCAAAACCGCCTACATCCACGGGAGAAGCCATTGCATTATGTAGGGAGAGTACAAGATTTACAATAATAGAGGAGGAGGAATCATCCTCTCTTTGAGCAACTCTCAACCTCACTCTATTTCTCTCATTTTGTGCTGCAATGGCAGTCCACTCTCTCCTACATTTCTCACCTCTTTGGCTCTACTTCCTTTCTCTCATTTTGCTCTCTCATATATGCCTCTATTTATAGGCATTCATGGAAGCTCTTCTTGGTTTGTTGTCAACATTGATGGCTACCAACTCTAGCTCATTCAACAATGGTGGCCACCAACTCTATCTCATTCAACAATGGTGGCTACCAATAGTTGACACGACTAAAAGGTTGATGTCTTCTCCCAAGTGCAGGAGTGTCGAAGTAATAAATAACCCGGCAAGACCGGGGTCGAACCACAGGGAGGTTAATTGTACAAATTATAAATGACAATAGTACAACAACAATAATAACAACAACAACAACAATAATAATAATAATAACAATAATAACAACAATGACAATAACAATAATAACT